CAGCGGCTCTGGGGTGGGGGGGAAGTTGGGTGTCCAGTAGGCCACTGTGGAGGGGCTGGGGAGTAGGCATTGCTGAGCTGGCTGGGCCATCCATTTCTGTGAGTGCCTGTAGGGACTTGAGCCAGTGTGGCGGGTTGTCATCCTGGAGACAGTCTAAACTGCTGCCTGTTGAGGCCGGGATGCCTGGGAAAGGGAGAGGTGGGGTCACAAAACTAGAGTTATGACATGTTGTGTTAAAGTATTTATGCATCTCCCTAGTACTTTGTCAATGCAGTTGATACACATACTGTTCACTATGTGCTTGACAATCTACCCTCTTTGTATTATAAGTTACAATTTTACTGATTCCAGCTTCATAGACATCATGATTTGCAGCTGTTTTGTCATATATCGCAAAACATTTTATATCTGGAAAAAAAACCAGCAAACTGAATTTTTTAATTTTGGATTTGGGAAAAATTTAATGAACATTTTAACTTCTTTGACACTTTAAAAAAATGTTAAAACAATAAATAATTGAATAAATAAAAAAAATAGTGGACTGTGATATGGAAATAATAGTTACTTGCAGCTGTATCTGACTTGGTAACTGACAAATGTTAGCTGTTGCAAAATCTGGTGAAACTGCAAAATTATGTAATGCAACAAGAGTATCATTAAATCATATGCAAATTATTCCACAGGCTTTTACAGTGCAAGATATTTCTGGTATTTTGTCCACATCCATTAAACACCCCCTTCATCAGCATCCTAAGGTTCTCATAATGCTACAACTAGCAATTTGTTTCATTAGCCAATAAAAGATTTAAATAATTTTTTGGATTTAATGCTAAAATCAGTCTGGGAGAAAACAGTGAAAAAGCATTGTCACAATTTCACAGAGACCCGGGTGACACCATCAAATTATTTATTTTGTCTGGCTAACACTCTAAAAACCAAAAATATTCAGTTTATACTTTTGTCTTGTAGTAAACTGAATATAGGTTTACTGGCTTTAAGGTCAACACACACTTAACAACTGCTGCACAAATTACGAACGGTATTTGTACGGGACAACTGATCTGAACCAGCTGGACAGAGTCAGGCTCAGTCTGGGTCAGGCGTTAACAGGTGGCAGATTAAATGATGTAGTCTGTGCCATGTAAAGATTTTTAAAGTTTTAAAAGCCAGTCGCTGGTGATTCCCATAAAGATTTCTTTCAACATGTATAATACTTGTGAATGACATCTGCAATTGATGATATCATGTATGTTGCCCGAGGGTAAATGAACAAAAGATAAAGTTTCAAGAACAGTGATTAAAAACGTCTGGAGTGTCAAAGTGCACTGGACAAGTGAAGTGGAGGAGAAAAAAAATAAAATAAATAAAATTCGGCCTGAACTGTGGCTGGAGAATTAACATCTCTAATGTTAAACACCTACCACAACAGGACTGGTATGTTTCAGTTTCCTCTGTAGTGGTACAGTCCACACTGGCCAAGCCTCTCCATAAAAAGATGTCACCCAAACTCTGTGCTTTTCTGCTCTTTTTGTTATTTCCAGCAGACATTAAGTGTAAAACATGGACCGGCATAAATAATGTAAAATGGATGCATCCACATTTGTTTTGGTACAAGGACACACAAGAATTGGCATGCTCTCATGGGATTTACAGACTCTGCTACCAGAACTTATAGCTGTTACAGACAGCTATTAAGCATGTTGTCCAGAGTTTGCTCAGTTGTTAGGTGTGTGCTCCTTCCCAGCTGCCTAGGACTAAAAATCTGCACAAGTTGGTGAAAACAGTCATTAAATGTGGCCTGCTCTATCTTAAGAAGGTTTTAGTCTGTTGTCAAGTTTAGGAAAATATGATTTTTCACTATTTTCTGGAATTTCTATAAAACCAAGCCATTACTAAACAAAATAATCTACAGGTTAATTGATAATGAAGTTAGTTGCACAATACTACAGTTTGGGCTAGCATTTGTCTTGCCTTTGTACATGTAAATGACAAGTTCTACCTGTGATGATAGCAGGATCCATCCAACTGGCTGTGCCATCCCAGCTCAGGCTGTGTGAAATGCCTGCTGGTCCACCAATGTGGTTAACACTGTTGGAGGATGAGGAGGATGAAGACGAGGAGGAGTTTGGGAGACCCCCGAAGTTGATGTTTATGTTTGGCAGGAGAGCTCTCAGGCCATCCTGCCACTCTTTCATATTTAAGCCATCTATAGAGCCACTGTTTTCTGCAAGAGACCAAAACATTTGTGTCAGTAACTCATGGGTTTTGTTCACAGACTAGTGGTTAACTGCAGAGGTGCAGCCACAAGTGTTTTTGTTTCCTATGTTAGGTCACTACAAACTAATCAAAATGCTGTGACATTCAATGACATTATGCAATGAGTCTCATCAGTATTTTATGTGCACTGGCTTCACAGAACATAGGAAAGTGCCACAGTGACCCAAGTGTCTGGTACCTGAGATGGGGATGCCTCCCAGCCCTGTGTTGTGCTGAGGGGGCAGATTCAGGTCCAGGAAATTACTGTGTGAGGCAGCACTGGCTGAGTGGTTCAAGTGTATGAGGTTATTTCTTGTGGGGACGCCCATCCAGGGGTGTCTGGCAGCTGGCTGCTGCTGACCGGCTTGGCTGTTCTGACTTCCAGGGAAACTGAAGGAGCTGTAGATGGCTCTGTGGTGGAGCTGAGGGAGACGTGGCAGGCTACTGGGGAAGTGGTGAGAAGTGCTGGGGTTAGGGTTGAGGGGTGGCAGGCTGAGGCCATGGTTGCTCCCTTGAGGGAGGGGCCCTGGGGAGGAGGGGCTCTGATCTTGCACCGACAGTTCCTTCTCTATCAGGTCAGCCAAAGCCTTGCGGGTGACGTCAAAAGGATCAAAGCCCAGGTCATCGTCCTGTTGTTTGCTGGACGAGCCAAAGCCAAAGGCCGCCTGCCAGTCTGTGGAAGAAGACACTGGTATTGTGTCTGTGAGAAAAGAAGACAAGTTACTGGAATTGTCCATGAAAAATTCATAGTCAACCAACAACCATAAGATTTGTTTGACTAACTGATTAATTGATTGGCTGATGACAAAGTGCCTTTGCAGTTACAAACTCCAGACTTTGGACTTCTTTGCTCACTGAAATCCAGTTACAACTGTCTCTCTGATATTATAGTTTTTTCTAAAGATGAATGCCATCATACAGAAGAATCTTTAAAAAAAGAAATAATAAAAACATACTTGTGAACACTACAGGGAAGCCAGAGATGCATCATTCAGTAATGACTCACAGCTCGCTGTCCATAGGAAAAAAAAAAAAAATCCTTGGCCAAATGTTGACTAGGTCCCTGACAAACAGTTTGTGAATTAAGAGGGGGCAGCCTTCTTAGTCATTTACATTTGAAGGATTTTGCTAGTTTTATTATCCAGAGCAAATTACAATGGCTGCAACAGCAGAAAATGCTATAACTAATGAGATGCCACCATTACAATTAATATTATGGTGCACACTGCTAATGGCCACAGAACAAACAGAATATAGCTGCTGCAGTTCAACTAAGTGTTTGAAATTTAGGGAAAAAAAACCTATGTGGTATCCCTGTTTAAAAAGCACATCCAAATAGGTATTTAAGATAGAAGTGAAAAATAATTAAATCTCCACTGTACCTGATGTGAAGAGGCTCTGTGGTTCAGGGGTCATGGGCCAGTCAGAACTGCCGCGGGGGGAGCTGGGGAAGGGGGGCAGGCCAGCTGGGAGAGGGTTAGGATGTCTGAAGTTACTGTTGTCTGAAAAGAGAGACTGCGACTCAGCTGCAGCACCCTCGAAGGGCGAACGAGCTGTGAGGTCTGACACGGTGATGGGCACCACCAGGTTGGGCTTAGTTAAACCTGGGGGAGGGGAAGGGGAGTCACTGGTGGGCATCTAGAGAAAGAGAGGAATAAATGCTTGTGAGCTCGTTCCACATCATTTAGATGCAACTGAAATGAGAGGTATGGTTATTTTACCTGTTGTAAAGACTCTCCATTCACCATACCAACTGACTCTGGAGGTTTGTCGCTGGGACTGCAGACAAAAAAAACCAAACATTTAGATACATATTAAATATTATTTTATTATTATTTGTGTTGCTGGTGAGTGGCTTGTATTACCTGTTACTGTCACAGTTGGAGGAGAAGGGGGACAGGGCAGTGCACTGACTAGGGCCCAGCTCTGTATCTAGCCCATCTGAAGTTATAACGTCTTGGTCTAGATAGTCTAGCAGCGGAGGGGACTTGCGGTCCTCTGAAAGCCCATTGACCAGTTTGTTATGCCCTGAAAGCGTTGGCCACCCATCTTTACCATTGCTATTGTTGGTTCTATTACACAATAGAAGAAGAAAAACAAAAACAAGCTTAACACAATAATCAATATGAACTGTGGAAGTAAAGATGTATTTCCATCAGCACAGTTCAGCCCACTTTTATTATGCGAAGCCAGGCAGGCACGGATTAGCCTCCCGTTTTCATCTGTTTCTAACAACAGGGAGTAATTGTATTGACTCAGGTTCAGTGGGCCCTACATCCACCCAGGGTTGAGTGTGGCCTTCAACACAGTTGGCTCACCGAGACATGCAATTCGCTGAAATGTTGAGCCAAGGGCAAGTCCTTACACATTCAGCATTCACTTTTTTTGAGTAATTTCATTGCAGCAAGATTTGAAAATGGAGTCACACACTTGGTCTTCTGATGAGAGGTTAAAATGACACCTAGCATCAAGCGCTCCATGTTGCAAGCTAGTAAACACCACACCGACACCATGAGTTACGTGGTGCTTCTCAGAGGCTCATGCCAGGCCCAAGATGCGGAAGATAATGTGTTTTACAGTGCAGTGAAAATACAACCATGCTGCTTTGGGAGCAGCTTGGTATGGCTCTGTTGCACACACCTTGGCTCAGGTCGAAAATGGCCAAAATAAGAGGAAGAACACAGAAGAAAATAAATAAATAAAATACCTCTGTGTGGAACTGGGTTTACTCTTTAACTTCTCTGTTCCACATGCTGGAGGTTGTAGAAAGCTAGGGTTAATTTTATAGAGGTCTTGAAGGAGTTTTTGCTCATACTCTTGATGTTTCCCCGCCTAAAAACAAACAGCACAATATGAGATAACTGAAGCCTTTACAACCACTCATTCACAATGTAGGAAGATAAGACTTCACCTGCATCTCCTCTTTAGTAAAGCTAGCTGCTTCATCCCCCAACTCATGTAGATACATACAATCAGGCTTGGGACACTGCATACTTTTAAGGAAGTAACTGCAGTACTTAGTTGTGCCTAAAGAAGCCTGCAACACAAAGACAAAACTAGCTCTGAGAAAATGACAAGAATATACAATTCAAAGCTAAGAAACTTAATCCTACTATTATACATTGCAAGCTGTTTAAAATAAGGGCATTCAAATCTTAAAACAGAAAGAATACAGAATAAAGTGATCACATGACTTTTCACAAATAAAAAACTTCTAATTGCAGCCATCAACAAGATAAGCATTTAAGATAATAAGTGTGATGAACTTCTCACCTTGAGTGTTCTGCCATCAACAACCACATTGTTCACACACTGTATTGCTCTTAGAGCATCTTCAGAGCGGATGTAAGTGACATAAGCGCTGGCGCTAGGCCCCTGACAAACCAGAAAATTAAAGTAAACATACAAGTTAAACATCTCCTGTGTTGCTCTCTCTCTAGGGCTATAATTAGCGATGCTCCAGGGATTAACTACACGTTTGATCAGTAATCTATTTCATCACTAAATTGCTCTATAAAACCTTAAATATATAAAACCATTAAAAATAAATGCAACTGGAAAAACCCATTAGACTCTTTTTATAATACTGTAACACATAGTTTAACATTCTGGCTTTTCAACTGATTAAACTGTTAATGACTGATTGTATCAGCTGCAAGCACATCCTGTTGGTTTGATCCCTCCTCTCACCTGTGAACCTGCATAAGATGTGCTATTGTTGATGACCACTTTATGGATTTTACCGAACCTCCCAAAATACTCTGGTCGCTTTAAGACCTGTGGGCACAATGCAAAGAAAGAGAACATATACAATATTCAACACAGGTTTTACACTTGAGGCTTCAGTGGGAGGCGGAATTGAGAGACCTATGTATATTAAAATCACTCCCTATCAAAGAGCCCTCAGTCTTCACTGTCTAAATCGAGTAACTTAAGACCTTCAGTTGGTCACAATCACTGTTATTCACACCAAATCAACCATTTTCCACACTCCAGCGTCACAGGTAGCACGAAACTTGTGATATTGTACTCACCTCTGGGTCGGCGAGTCGCTGTGATAGCCCCACCACAAACACCAGATTTCTCTGGACCACTCTGACGCTGGCCAGATGCTTGCGATTTTCTGTAACCTTCTGTTTCTTCTCATTCTGTTTCTGCTTCTTTTCATTCTTTATCCTTTGGATCTCCTCTTGCGACAAAGGCTTGTACACAGCCGGATCCTCTGGATACGGCTACATCAAAAAAAGGTTTTCAAGTACATGCCCAGTGAAAAATGTCCTATCAGTCTAAATATGTGGCTGTGTAAAGTATAGTGGGTAACTGCTGACTTTTGTTGTCAATGGAGTTCTGTGATCATCACTAGACAAACTGCGAAGACTGTAAATTTTAACTGATAAACTGAAACTTGACAGGGGATCCAACAGTTTCTCTCTTTTTTATTTAATTTCCCTTTATCCATCTATCTGAATTGTCAACAACATCATCTTTGCTTTTCAAAACACATCACCTCTACAGACGAATCACCCATCAGTTGCAACAAGTTTCTCTGGTATCATGTTCATCTCACTTCCTCACCTTTCTGCAGGCGGGGCAGAGGCCATTCTCGTCTGTGCGGATGCGATGCCAACAGAAGCGGCAGATTTGGTAGCCACAGGTGCAAGGGAAGAAGTTGACGTCATCAATTTCCAATGGTTCCATGCACAGAGGGCACTCCATGGGGTCGTCCTTCATTTCAGGGCTGTGGGACATCCTATGGCACAGCGAGGGTGAGTGTTAAAGCTGGTCACAGAGCACAGGGCTAAGGGGGAGAAAAAAAAGAGTGTAAGAGCTCCCGTCATGACATGATTGAAAATTATATCAACTGAACAATTTCTAGCTGTGCTTGTCATTCCCACACATACTCATTAGTGGGATGTACACCCTCTGAAACTGAGTTTATAACCACCAATCACACTATCGGCCTGAGCACAAAATGTGTTGACATAAATGTCTTTCATGCAGTTTTATCTATTCATCAGCAGAAGAAATGTGAAAAATTTGTGACAAGGTGTCCATCAAACCTCTGCACAGGCCAAGCTGACTACTTCCGATGTCTTATTGTGTTTGATGAAAAGTAAAAAAAAAAAAGAACAAAACTCCAGAATATAATGTTTTAATGATATATGACAAAGAAGCATCAAATCCTGACAGGCAAGAAGTTGAAACCTCAAAGTTTGAACCATAAACTTTAATTACTATCTAAAACTGTATTATAAACTTCATTGAGATGGGATGTACTGCAGTGATGCTGAATTACATGTAGACTGTCCTCGATTTAGCTACAGTATGTGTACCCAATAAGAGAGGAAAGCCAGTGTACAGTACACCTAAAAAAAAACATGCTAAACACAGCAGTCATCACGACTACATGATAATGCGGATATTGCGGCATATTTCATACTTTGACAGTGTTTTACACAACGTCATGACGGACGTTCAAGACAAATACCACTAAACTGTTTATTATAACGAAATTCTGGTTGTTGGCAATTAAAGGACAGCCTGATTTCTGCGTGACAACACCGATGCCAACTGGCAAACAATACAAACTCTGCTTGATTAAAGTCGGCTGCGTAAAGTTGAATCAGACGATAACAGGGAAATGGCAAGATTTTCCAAATACTTGCCGTTAGCGGTAACGTTATTTTGCTAATTTATTAACCTGCACAAGAGTATCACAGCTTTACGCCCCCACTCACAGATATCAGCTGATTGGTTAAGTCTTGTATGCATCAAGAATACCTAATTAGCCAGCCTGGTAACTTTAGTTGCTCTGTATTCTGGATCGTGCATTATGACATGTTATTTAACTAACATTAGAATAAGCTAGCATTAGCCGCGACTTGGTAAAAGAAGCCGGTCTGAGCAATAGCGAATATCCAAGAGAAATTGTACGTTTGATCACGAAAACAAGACGTATAAGGACGAAAATTGACATGTTATTAACATTGGACCTTTAAAAAGCCATGACATAAAGTTACGCGTTCTCCTACACATTAACTGACCGCTTGCTTTATGCTAACCGCTAGCATCGACGTAGCTGGCATGCTACAATATCATCAAAATGTACAGGGTTTTGAAGCCAAGCCTTCGAAGCGGCCTATATAAGCTAATGCTTAACTGGAAGGAAGTTGCTGGAATTATAAACAACCAACATTGCTCTCACGACATTAACATTACCTGGAAAGTAATATAATAATCTGGGGAACACTCTGTTGTCGGTCTTTAGAATCGTAACAGGCACAGCTGTTCTTTATTTACTGAGGGAGAATGGAAGCTGGGTAGCCCAACAAGCAACTTAGCTAACGTTAGCGTTACTTACCCTGTCCGTATTTAGCTTAGAATTCCACTCCTAGGGAGTCACACCAAATTGGGCGGAGACTGCGAGCTAATGTATCTCAAATGTCAAAATTTCTTTCAACGGCCTCTTTAAACAACCGTAGGTGTGTTGTTCTGGTCTAATTAAAAGGCTATAAAGATGTTTGACGGCTTCCTTTTCTTAGTATTGTGGAGACAATTTACGCTCAAACCACCATCTTAGCTAGCATTAAAGTAGGTAGGGAGGGAACGGGGGGCAAAGTATTGTGTCACTGAGTCTGCGCAGATGGACAGATGCTTTCTGGGCGTTTGAGTTTTCGGCGATTCTAAAGTAGGACCAGGAAATATTTTTCGACAAACCTGTGAAACGTTTCAGATAAAAGTACACAGTATAGAGCGTTTCAAGTACTATGCTTCAGTACATTTGAGGCTTTTTATTAGAGTGCTTAAATCCTATAATACTTTCAAGGTTTCTGCAGGGTTAACCAAGTTAAACTTAGGACTTTTACATAACATTTCAATACCACACATCCATTTCTTGGTTAAACTGATCTGAGTATGAACAGCATCAGTGAAACACAGCACGTATATGGCCTATAATTATTCACTAAGTTCATGCATTTCTTGACATTTATGTAACATTTTTTGCACTCTTTTCTAACTGCATAAAACAACAACTAATAATATAATGAATTAATCATTATGTGTGATCTGAATCTGGAGAAGCATCAAAAAAAAAAAATGACTGGATGAATGGAATAATCAAAACAACAACAGCAACAACAAAAACTACATACTAAGGTCCAGATATGAATTTTACATAATATAAAGTAATATTACTACCTAAAGCAAGCCACAAAACATACAGTATTAAAAACATTTGTAAGCAAATATAAAACTTTTTAATACTTTTCAGGACCACCTGTTATTTTAGGAAAACCCACATCAATGGATATAATGACCTTTAAAGACATACAGAGTCCCCATACTTTATATAGTATCTCTAAACTGTAGCTCAGATATGTTTTTGTGGCTGCTCCAAATTATTTATTAAGCTATTTAGTATTAAGTTATTTAGTAGATTGAGATCATACAGATATGAACTTATGAAATAAATACAATGCATTTTTATGAATTAATCTTACCCAATAGTGTTGTAGTTAACTGACCACCACCAGCAACAACAAAACTACATACTAAGGTCCAGATATGAATTTTACATAATATAAATCTTGTTACATATGAATGCATTATCAATATATACCCAATAATAAAATATGTATAGTAATAAAATATAAATTTAAGTGCGCATATTTTTGCTGATAATACTTTAGTCTTTTATACTACCTTAGTAAAAAATCTGAATGCAGATTTTTATTTGAAATGTAGTATTTTTAAATTGTGGTATTATTAAAAAATCTGAGTACTATACATGTATTTTCTCCACCACTGCTGTTTCTTTCTTGAATACAAGAAATCAGAACATCAGGCTACCTTATAATGTATAATCCATATAACAGATTTGTAATCATGGAGCCAAGTCAAGTAAAATATAAATTATTTTTAAAAAATCAGATTAAATGTAAAGCACATCATTTTCTTACATTCATTTATTCAGTTGCAATGTTATACACTGGTTTTACAAGTATCCAATTACAAATCTTAAGGGTGAAACTGTGACAATATTGAGATATTCAGTCTATGAAACAAACCAGTGCATAACAAACCAAACATTTCTTAACATATTTTTGTTGTTTCACAATGAAAATAAACCTTTAACCTATCCACAAGAATGTTGGTTTGCACCAGTTCTGAGTCTGGACTTTGATGGGATCCACAGAGTCTAAGGTGAGTGTAGGGGCGATCGGGTGCGGCGATGCCAAGGACAATCTTGCAGCCAGGAGTCCCATCCGAACACAGCTGTGTGTGTCTCGCCCTTGTAGAATTCCAGCCATCAAGGCACCTGCAAGACTGCAGGCAGAGAAGAGAGGAGTGTTTTCCCTTCAAATGTTAAGGCATTATTTTGTGAGGGACAGAAAAGCTTTCAGGGACAAAGAGAGAATAGACGTCACGGAAAATAAAATGTGCTTGAAACGGTACCATTGAACAAACATGAAATTAAAATTGGAATAGGGAAGAAACAGTAGGTCAAGTAAATTTTTAGGACCTGTCTCCTGCTCCTGATACATTCATTATCTCTTCTGTGGTCACATTCAGTGCTGGGTAATGTAGAGCACAAAGCTGTCCTCTCTGCAAACACAAATACAGCAAGAACTCTCTTCACTATCACTGTAAAAACAATCATCATCATCAGTTTAAAAATAGAAAGCCCTTACCCTCTTCTGTTTTCTGAGCTGCAGGTTGACAGAGCCTGCAACATGCTCTCCACACACCAACACACCTTTAGCCCCCAGAGTCACCACCAGACAGTGAATATGCTCCAGGAGGGGGCGTGAGAGAGTCACAGCAACATGCAGCACCTCCTCCAGAGAGCTCGGCAGCACTGCCACCACACAACAGCAAACCACATCCTCAGCAACTATCACAATATTTGCATTTTTCACGAGAAATGTAATGATAGCAACTGTGAGTGAGAATATGTAAGAGCAGAGTAAATAAAGAAAATGAGCCTCGAACCTATGTCTATTTTTCTTCTATTTACCTTCAGGTGTTGGGATACCCAGAGTTTTGTTCATGGAGCACAATTCTGCCAGGTTTGGGGATGAATAGGACAGAGACTTCCAGGCATCTGACAGGAAAGGCTTACAAGCCTTGTCTAAATCTGTTGGCTCATACCAAACTATGACAAGCATTACTTGACATATTGCATCAAATTTAAAGGGGCCTACTATTTATGATTATTCATTATCATTTAAAAAACATCTCCCCATGCTTACCATTGATGTTGTGCTGTTTGGCCACAGAACACACATAGTCAATAGTGGAGACAGGGACGTTTCCATCGAGACACACAAGAGTGGCTGATGAAAGCTGCTTCTCAAACTGTGATACCTATAAATGATAGAGCTGATCTTATACAGTGGGGAAGTCAATGATTTGTCAACTCCTGTGCTTCATATAACAGAGGGAATGTCTTAAAAATACAACTCCCAGAGTTCAATTGAAGATGACACGGTATCTGTTGTTATGTGACAAATGAGCAGGCATATTACTGTAAAGTCAACATTTGCCAGATCTTGTCTTTTGAATTTTGTGCACTATTTACATGCGTGATTACCAGTAAACCATTTGTGCATGTCCACTGACAATAGAAATGGCTATACAGGTAACTAATGAGTATAATTACATTTAATGGTAGAATATTACATGGAGTACCAAAATGTGGGTTTAATATCATGAGAATTTCAAAGGTTATAATTTTAAAAACCATTGGCATATGATTTCTGAGCTAAATACCTTTGTCATCTGAACTTACATAATGCTCTGTGATTTGCTGATGAATGTCCATGTCACCAAGCCCAAGACTCATTTCTCCGCTCTCGTTGATAACAACACAGTAAGTAGCTGTGTTTTGCTCTTCTAGCCTCGCCACACTACTTGTGTCCTTACAGAAATAAGAAAAACAAAAAGAACTTAACATTAACATATTTAAGTAAAAGGGATTTTACTCATGCTTTTGATAGTCAACAGTTGATGTTCACATACCATATGTTTACAGTAGTTTAACACTGCATCACTGTGTGAATCAGCTCCAGTAGCAGAGACAAAGAGAGGTCTGTGGCCTAGACGACTCAAACAGTCTTGAAGAAAAACCCCCAAGAAGTGAGTTTGACATTTAAACTGCTGATAAAAATATGTGTGTGAACACAATCAGATAACAAAACACTCACCAGCGATATTTCTTCCTACACCACCAAATGACTGACAGACACTTCCTGGGTTAGTCTGCCCAAACTGAATTAGTGACAAGTGTTCTCAGAAGTCATTAGAGCCTATACATAATATAATATATCTTGATCTGGAGTGGTGTGGATAAATACATGTTCTGAGTTAAACTTACATGAAGTGTTTTCATTTTCCCTTTAGCAATAAAATCCACATTTATTCCTCCTATAACAACCTGTAAAAGAACAGCACTGTGGGTACTGTACTGAATCAGTATTTGACTAAACACTGAAAAATCTGGAAAGCAGTTCTTCATATAATGGTTCACAAATAAACATATCCAGGTGTTAGAATGGCCAAGTCAAAGTCCAGACCTGAATCCAATCGAGAATCTGTGGGAAGAACTGAAAACTGCTGTTCACAAACGCTCTCTATCCAACCTCACTGAGCTCGAGCTGTTTTGCAAGGCGGAATGGGCAAAAATTTCAGTCTCTTGATGTGCAAAACTGATAGAGACATACCCCAAGTGACTTACAGCTGTAATCGCAGCAAAAGGTGGCGCTACAAAGTATTAACTTAAGGGGGCTGAATAATTTTGCACGGCCAATTTTTCAGTTTTTTATTTGTTAAAAAAGTTTGAAATATCCAATAAATTTCGTTCCACTTCATGATTGTGTCCCACTTGTTGTTGATTCTTCACAAAAAATTACAGTTTTATATCTTTATGTTTGAAGCCTGAAATGTGGCAAAAGGTCGCAAAGTTCAAGGGGGCCGAATACTTTCGCAAGGCACTGTATGTTTATACTCACAATATTTGATTCTGAGTTTGATGATAGTTTTCCGTGATAATGAGTTTTACTTCTTAACTTTCTCTCAGTCATTTGTTTTGACAGTTTACAAGCTATCTGACTTCCAACTCGAGCATTGTTGTGAATGAGAGCAATGTCTAAGAACGTAAAAGGTTAAGGGCAGTGTAGTATACAGGAAAAATGTCATCAACAGTCATCAACCCTAGTGCTATACTGCACTGGTAATACTATCAGTCCTATGAGACAAAACACCTGTTAATCTTCTTTGTGCCTTTTATTTCAAAAGAATTTGGTCTTATTTTCAGCATGAGTTCTCAATGATTCAGATTTTCTAAAGGATACTGGCCTGAAGGGACTTTCCTTTAGTCAACACATTGACCTTCTGAAGAATAAATGGTGTCGCATCTTTTCCAGTGATACTTTTAGCACTGAGTGAATCAAAAAGAGAACAGAAAGTGATCATTTGTTCATTTTAAATCAACACTGTGTTTGATTCACATTGTCATCACCACAAAGCAATCCAGATTAATCTCTGACTGATGTCACTGAGCCAGATATAGCTGCTGAAAAGGCATCATAACAACAGATTACAACAAAGACTGCCTGTACCTCGCCTCTGTCACTGCAGCACGTATGGCTTCCTCTATCTGCTGGCCTGCTGCTGCATGTTCCTCTGGGACTGGAACTGCTATCAGGACACCACTCCGAAGACCCAGTGATAGAATACTTGCTATAATACAAACATATAAAAGAAAAACAACAAGTCAACTGTACAATGGGTATGCTGACTTAAACATATTGCATGTCTAACATAATTAAGTGATTCTCAGTTGCAATAAATCAGGGCTCAAGGAAACGGTCAATTTTAAGGAAATAATGAAATACCAATGAGTCCAGCAGCCTCCTCAGGGTTGACGACTTGATACGGGGAAGTGAAACTGCTTTGACGAGAAAAGAAGGCTGGAAAATTATTTGACGTTCCATAAGTGGCTACACAGACACCCAGCGTTTCCTGATTAAAGACACACAGCAGGGAAAAAAACAATGGTAAGATAATTTTAGTTTAAGTCACTACTCTAAACCAATATGATACAAAAAAGGTAGCTAATAGAAATATGAATGGCTGAAGTGCACACTCAAATATGAAACAGTATCAGTTCTATGATTTTCTGAAAAATTATCTCAGTTTTCTTACAAGAAATTCGAGGGTGCGACCAATGTCCAAAATAGACTTGACCCCAGCGCAGACCACGGCAATGGGAGTCCTGCCCAGTTCTGTCAGATCTGCACTAATGTCAAGACCTGAAAGAATAATCATTGAGTAAGTGGTGACTAATGGTCTGCCTTCCCATAATGACAGCGGTACATTGAAACAGGTGTTAACGTCCTACTCTTTTTCACATGACAAGAAAAGTCACTGTCCCAATACTTGCAGTGTTCTTACACATGAAAGCCATCCTCAGGCCAAACTATCCTGATCCCCAGGTAAGGTGGCCTTTACATGGCCTCCTCTGGTTTCCAAGATTGCAGTATAATAGCTGGAATACCTGATAATGAGGCTGTTCATGCAGAATGAAAGGGGACCAAAATCTTCCAGTCTGTTTCATGATTTGTTAAGAGGAATAAATGATCCTTTAGTTATAAGATATCAAAACTGTATGTCTAAAGGTGAGATGACTATTTTCCAATATGCTGTGAATCTGCTTACTGTTGTCTCCATTTCTGTGTACTCCTCCAATGCCCCCTGTGACAAACACAGGGATGCCAGCTTTATGTGCTGCAATCATGGTCGCTGATACTGTTGTTCCTCCTGAAAGTGCCTGAGAAAACAACACATATACTGAAAGAAAGCATTCAACATGCAGCCATAAATAAGAGTCAGGTAATTAAAATGGATGAACCCCTGCCATCACACCATCCTTCATGTATTTTAGAAATCGATTATTTTGGGATTAGTCTTTGACACGACTGTACTGCCGTCTCACTTTGCTGATGACATATGGCAGGTCACGACGGGACACCTTCAGGGAGCTCTTGCAGCAGGCGAGGTGGTCAAGCTCCTCCGATGACAGACCAACATGAACTTCACCCTCAATCACTCCCACTGTGGCTGGAGTGGCTCCTTCAGCTCGTACAACAGCTTCCACTTCCTTCGCTGTGCTGGATGAGAACATTAATGATGCTCATTATCATGAGCACAGCAAATATTAACTGCTGGCATCAGTCTGTTGACACTCGAAGGACATTCAAGGTACCTCAGATTATGTGGATAGGGCATGCCATGTGTGATAATAGTGCTCTCAAGGGCAACCACTGGTTTGTTTTCTGCCAATGCTTGTGACACAGATGGATGAACTCTGAAGAGGATGTCTGGGAAATTTAGGTCAGGGTAAAGTCATAAATCTACCTCATTATTATCATTATGTTTGGAACTGTGTGTACAATATACTTTTAATATACCGTTTTTGCACCATTTTCTCTGATAAGTTGCGATTCTTCTTTTCAGGATAAGGGCACAGGCTCTCACCAGCATCCTCATTCTGTTTAGATTTTCAGGGAAACCCTAAAAACATGAGTTTTTAAACTTTAGTGTGAAAAACAGCTTGAGTAAATCAGTTGCACCTATACTATGCTTGCACTACTATGGTTTCCTTTCCAGTATTCCTCATCCTCCTTAGGTAAGCACCGGAAGATATTGGCATATATGGGAGGCGAATTTTTAATTGTTGAATATGTTCAGACATTTTTAGTATGTAGCTAATGCTTGCTTGCCTAAACAAGAATGAAACTAAAGCACGGGCTTGACTGCATCTATGCATTATAGACTGCTAGCTCAAATGTAGATTATTACATGGTCAGTAACGTTTTTAGAGAAGAAGTAAGAAACCCAAACATTAAATTAACAGTGCTTGACTTATTTCGTGCAAGCATTGTCAGTTTAAGAGTTCCAGCCTTTAATCTGTATAAAGCCAGGAAAAATTTATTACCTGGTGGAATTCAAAAACTATTTGATGAAAGGGAAGGGGGATACAATTTAAGGGGTCAGTTAAATTATAAAATTCATGCTATACGCACCACCAAAAAAAGATTCTGTATTTTGATAAGTGGAGTAAAACTATGGAATAATTTAAGTGTGGACATAAAAAACAGTAAGAAAATTGATGAGTTTAAACACAGATATAAAGGTATGTGTCAATCAAGATATGGGCAAGAACAGGCTTAATGATTAATCAGATGGGAGTGTGGATGTAGAATATGTATCCATGTAGTAATACTGCTTGCAAACCAATGATGATAAGATGATGTTAGGGGGTAGGACTAGATAAGTCTAACTTCTTCCTACTCCATTCAAGCATGTACTAGGTATAAGCAATTTGAAAATATTTTTGTGGATATGTCTGGAATTATGTGCGATTACATACTGACTGTTGTTACATGTTTGAATGAATAAATAAATCAAATCAAATCAAATCAAATCTAAAATCTTATCAAGAACAGAGTATTAGAGATACATCAACAAACACATACCCAAACTGCATGTAAAATCCATCTGAAAAGTCGCATCAATATACACGTATTACACGAGTTATCAAAATTTATTTCTACAAAAACATGCTCAGTTATAAAAGGCAGACCGTTTTCCTATGGTTGAAATGATCAAAATGTCCGTTCTTGGTGATAATACAAAGTCCATAGCACATTATATTCAGTTCATTATGTGTTATTTTAAAAAAGTGTCTCCACAAACAGAATTTAACACTTACCTTCTACAGTGCAACAACAATGCTAGAAACTCTGCCCAGAAGGCTAAACTTTGACCTGAACACTGTTTGCACAGCAAACAGAGCTCAATGGTCAAAGGTCAAAGGGGTCAGGAAACGTGTTTCCCTGTACAATGAAATTCTTACTTCACCATCCACATGAATGCCACACAATACAAATGAAATATAAAGTAGATGAATAAGTAACACAAAATCTAAGGCACTTTAAGTGGCAAATGCATATATATAATAAAAACATATAAGAATATCATAAGAGAAGGTATGCTGCATGGGAGCTGCATGTGCATGTCAACACCTAATGCGCAATTATGCATGTGCACACTGAGAAACAGTACAGGTCATCAGTACATGACATATTTCCTGGTAATAATAATATTCCTCTGTGGATAATATTCAATACCAGGGCAACATACAAAAATACTGCAGAATATAGTATATGAAGACAAACATGTAGTATAGTACAGTGTATATACTTTATAACAACTAATCCACATACATACAAATTTGCAACAGCTAACTTACTGTTTTTACCTTGTGGCTAGTTTAATATCTATTAGTACACACTGTTTTTCCTATGAACCAGTGGTATAGTCCATCAGTCATACAGTATGATGACACTAAACTGCATGACTCTTCTCTATATTTTCCTTAAACAACAAACAATCTTCTTCATGAGTATTTCAAGATCCTAATGGAATCAAAACCAAATGGCTGAATTCAACTGAGGAGCACATTTGGAGCAGATGTAATGTTCTGCTTTGTCTTTCTTGTGTATTCACATGGCTGATGACTTGGGTAGAGTCAGGCATTCAATATCCAATTCATTTTGTGATAGATTTGCATTATCACAGATTTCAGCTGAGGTCTCCTCAACTTCCAGCTCTGGGGTCTCCAGTAATTCATCTTCAAACCACTGCGGATGCTCCAGCTGGTATGCCTGGAAAGCCTCTATAGCATCCCGCAGAGCCCCACCTGAGGGGCACTGATGATACTCATTCTCTGAAAGCCCTTCAATGTGATTTACTTTGCCTGGTTGATGTTTTTCTGTGTCCAGGATTCTGAAAACAAGCTCCTCAAACTGTTTCATCAGCTTGTACCGCACTGTAATGTGGAAAGGTGAAGGAATGTCTTCTTCAGAACAAACATCATCAAAATAAGCCACTATGTACTTTTCAAAAGAAGCAGAATGGATAAAATGGGGGATCATTAGGCTGAGGGCTGGAGTGAGCATGTCACCTATAGGTGAGTGGGCATCCGCCCTCAGAAAAACCTGTTTGTCACCACACATGGCTTTCCATTTGGCTTGTACTCCCGGTGAGCACAGGATTAGTATCTTATCTGAAGACCTTTCTATTTGCTCTCTGTGCCAGTTCAACCACTGGATGCTTCCCAGTACTACTAGTCTGGTAGAGTCCAGGAGATCCAGGATCACCTCAGTACCGCATTTGGTCACAAGGAAGCCACAAAGCTTGAGAACAATGTTTTTGTATAACGGGTGGTCAAGGGAGTAGATGATGAGAACTCGTTTTCTCTCTTGCACTTGAAAACCATCAGGTTGCACTTTGGTAGCAGGTGACAATGTGTTCACAGGAGCTGAGAGAATGATAACAGGTAGTGATTATCTTTTCAAGTTGTGTTTTATATTCAGTACAGTGCATTTTATAAGGCAAACCTTTATGAGCGGCTCTCCACAGTAAATAAGCAAGAACGCCATTAATGGTAAGCAATCCCAATGCTGCCTTTATAATTAATGTCCGTGGTGGATAATCTAAAAAATAAAAAAACCAAAAAATTATACATGACTAGTTAAATAGTACTATCAATATACACTGTAAAAATATCAATATACCAATAACTCCCAGTCTGTGGGTTGGGGCCCCTGCACTTGGTCAGGGGCTTGTGACATGATTAATGGAATAGGAAACAAACAAACAAACAACAAAAACAACATTATTGCTTACATACATTTGCAAGTGAACACTGCTTTATTTTAATGAGTTATGAACCAAAACGCTGTGTTATCTTATGTATTATATGGTCATTGAAAGTCTACCATGCTATATAGGCTATATGTCAAAAATTGTACTTACAAGGGCAGTAGTCAATCATTTTCTTGGGGCGCCAACAATCATTCTTGCATTGCACAAAAAATGGCTGAATCTTTGAAACAAGCAGGGTAGGGCAAACCATTTGATGTTAACAAGAGCTGTAAGATTATTTTGTTAACTAATGGGACATTAAATTAGTTGAACTCACCGTTAACAACATTTCACATTGTGAGAGTTGCCACAAGTCAAGCTCAAATGTCACACTGAGTGATATTCTGTTTTTCTGCTTGTTTAATGGAATGACAGAATGCATTTTGGATTAATGTGTGCACTCTACAGTTCATCATGATAAAACAGCATTAAATCATATCATGGTGTCTTAAAACTTGTCTTCACTGATAAAATACAGTAGTATTACCTTTGAGACATTCTTTGAATAGTAGAGATCATTACTCTGGATGGAGACTTGGTAGCTCTCTGAGTACTGTGCTGCCTCAAAACCCACAACAATGAACAACTTTTTATGTTCCTTATCAATAGACAGATTAGTGGCCATGTGAGGGTCCCATAGACTACCTAAAATGATAAAACATGCAGAGTGCAATGTCTAGGCCGTCCTGGATCTTCAGTATTCTTGTAGACTTGTGAGATGTAAAAAGACAATATTTACCATTTTCCAGACACATTTGGGCCATTTGAATGCTGCTGGCACCACATCCTGACCATGACATTGAAGATTATAAGATAGTGATTAACAATGTTTTAAAGTTTGTTTTGTATTGATATACAATAAGTAATCATTAAGCAAACAGTGGCAATGTTAAAGTGAAAGTAAAATTTTGAATTAGCTGCTTTTTGCCTCAAATTAGAAGCTAAATCCTCATCTTATTATGCCTCACAATATACTACCTATTTCACACCAAAAGCTGATTGTATTCTTTACATACTACTACCGGCATGCTGTTCTGACCATACAGTACATACAGTGCATTTTAAAATAGCCCAACAAATGTCCTTGCTTTTTACTTGCATACTTTACACTACAAGTCAAAAGTCTGGACAAACCTTTGACTTGTAGTGTGATGTGGAGGTAACTCACCTGGGATGGTAATTTGCTTTCTGATCCCGTTATCTCCACTCATAGGTTCTGGCAAATTAAAAACTGACAGCATATACGTATGCTCAGGCTCTACCACAACTCCATCCAAGGAAAATGTCCACTAATAAAAAACAAACAAACAAATAAACTCAGGTGTCTAATCTGTTAATACAGTGTATATATTGGACGGCACTGCTAAAGCAGAAGTTGGTCAAACAAATATGTTTCCATCTTACCTGGCTATGGTTTGGATTAAGCTGTCGTGTTAAATTTAAAGAAAACTCCACACAGATGCTTTGATTCGTACTCTCATCCAGAATACTTATCTCGGATCCATTAAGGCGAAATATACTTCCTGTGAACAGAAGTGTCTGTTTTTTATGCACTCTCTTATGCCTTATTATCTACTCACTTTTGATGAAAGACTGGCTTGTTTAAATCTTCCATATGATGCATTTTAAAATGTGAGCTGTGATTTTTTTTTTTTTTGGTCATAGAACTACTGAGTTTAATATTACTTACCATCTGACTTTATCTTCCATGTCATGTCCATAACAGGAACAGGCCCGTGTCTGTCCATCCTGACTCCCACATGCTCATGACCCCACTCTGGGGTGGTAGGAGCATGTTGCTGAAGTACAGACTTGTGCTTGTCTGAGCAGTTAGCTGGCATTTAGGGAACAGTGCGTTTATTATTATATTTCAAATACAATGAAATTTCAGCAATATATATTTATGTGCAGTGTTTGAAATTAGCAAAGCACATTTACTCAAGTACTGTACTTACAGTATGTACAATGTAAAGGTACTATTTTACTTTAGTATTTCCAGTAAATGATACTTTACCCAGCTGCTACATTTCAGAGGTAAATATTACACTATTATTCTGCTATATGTATCTGACAACCAGCTACTTTATTAGACTGGATTATTATTAATCATAATCTGCAAACACTTAAATTACGCTGTATTATTGTAGATTAATAAGACTGGGGTAAATTTACGTGGGACCGTAAAAAACAATATTCTGAAATGAGACATTCTGGAAAATGAGTACTTGAGAGTACTTATGAATAAATATATTTTGGTGGCAGTACTACTACATTTATTGAAACTTTGAGTACTGATTATATTTTCATGCAGCATCTTTCAAAGAATAACAGCAAAGAATAACATCAAATCTTTGTAATGTTCAAAAAAATGCTAAGTTTCTGAATATTTGCACAAAATACTGCTACCCTCAACATATAGGTTGAAGCCTTTTCCATATAGAATAAACATTTGACTTGTATTCTACTGATTTGATAAATAAGATACTCACTGATTTTGCAGGACTCAATGCCCTGGTAAAACACAAGACATAACACACACAGTGACTTCCTGTAGTATAATTATAAATCTACTTCAATTTGTTTTCATGCTGTAAGATTTCTTGTACAACAGACTAAATCCTCACCAGCTGACTGCAGTTCAGACGTTTGTTCAGGATCCTAAGAGAAGACAACGTAGCAAGTCCAGCAGCAAAACAAAAACAAAAAAAGGGAACAAGACTCATTCTGGTTTATCTGATCTAGTTCTAGAAAAATAGCAATAATAATTGTACTAGAAATAATATGACAGTAGCAGCAATAATTTGCTTGAACAAATACAGAGAAGGCTCACTGTGATGTGATTTCTATCTATGTGATTTGTTTCACAGAAACCTGAATACACAGGAAGGATGCCCTTATCAAATGTGGTCAGTAGTTTCCATTCTCATGAAGAACACTTGCATGAGCTGAAAATTCTGCTCTCTGAACTTTTCTATACAGTTATGTGAAAAGTAGAAGTTTGTTGTTTCTTATTAAATTGTGTAAATGAATTGTGGATTGGTGAAAGTGGAAAGCTAATATTCTTAAAACCTCAAACCGTCAGTAGGTGGCAGCAGTGACCAAATTTAATAGAAAATATAAAGTGTAAAAAGTCAAAATTGCATTTTGTGGGCTTGAAACAAATTTACAGCTAAATGCTTTCTAAAAAAACATGTCACATTATAATAAGTGTTAAGTTGTTGATGAAGAAAATCTCTGGGTCAGAAGAAAATCCCAAACAGTCTCAGCTGTCTTCTCGAATGTACTGCAAAAAATTCAGGCTAGAGCATGAACTGTACACACAGAGCCTCTTCTTCAGCTACAGCCAGTGGGTTCAAGACATTGTAGTCTTCCTTTAAGATTTTTAAGGGAGTGGTCGACAGATTTGTGAGTTTTTGTGAAAACATTCTAATTCAAAAGCCATGGTAGCGCTGTGATCCAAATATAAAAATATAGTATGTTTATTCAGTACAGCTACCATTAGCTATGATGTGACATACTATGTTCAGGATTTTGCCAACAGGATTTGTGGTAATACTTTATTTAATCTTTTTACTATATTCACTCATACTTTAACACTTTTTGACAAAATACCCCTTTGTAGTGTTTGCTACTGTTGGCCACTTCCATTATCCTGCCATTAAGCTTTGTGGTTTTCAGCTCTAATGTTGTCATATTTGCATTATTAGATTGCTTTTAGTGATCCTCTGAGTTTTCATATAGCACCATCATCTGGTCAAAATTTGAATCTGTCTATTGCTTTGGTTCATGTCCAAATTCCTGCAAAACTAAGCATATATCCATCATGTCAAACAATCAATTTATTTATCATAAAAAAAGTCAATCACATTTATTAGAGACATGTTAGGGGATTAACTAAGTAGACCTTTTCTCATGCAGTGCCAGAAGCCCAGCCATCTAAGTACTTGTCTCTAAAGTCTTATTGTGTTTTCCGAGTCAAGTCAAGTCCAGCTGTAGGGAGCAGTGAGGTATGCCCATGACTTAGACACAGCAGCTGGTATTTATGTGAGGGAACCCCTGCTATGTTGCTCCTTTTATCAAGGTCTTAAAGCAACTTTTCATGGATCTTCGGCTTTGACTTCTACGAGCCTCTTGATCCTCTAAGTGAAGGAAAGCAATCTGAGGATTAAACCACCTGCCAACATACTGCTGGCTGGTAACAGCAAGCTTAACCCATCATGCTGGTGTGATAACTGATGATGGCTCATTCACATTAACTGGCAACCTGCTGGATGGAGAGCAAGGCTGCAGGCTTCCTAAAATCATTTGCTGCTTTGCATGTTTATCTTGACATTCGCACCCTGTCAGGCTGGCTTAAATTGGATTTACTACTGTGTTGTATCAGAAGTATGTACATGCTTTTGTACTGTTCTGACAACTCTATCCATTTATGAGTGAGAAATGCTTTGGTTAAATTAATTAAAAACATAAAATATTTCAATTGTAAAGTTAATGCTATAAAGAAGTTAAAAGAAAGTAATAGAAAGAGTTATGATGACAGATGTAATATACTGTAACCGGTTCAAAGTTCTGTCTAAACTGGAACTTAATGCAACAGCAACCTTGTAAGGGAAAAAAAATCAAGCAACAATATGATCCTAAAGGTTTAGGTTTAAAATATTTTTTAAAACATTATTTCCACAGTGATCACAGGTTTGGTGTTGTTCTGCTATTAGCTGCCAAACCTTTCTGTGACTTGACTTTCCTGGCATTATGAAGGCCACAGCAGCTGCTAGGACATGCCAAAATATGGGTGAGTGACTCCAAATATAGCTGTACAACAGGCTCCTCTTCAGTCCTTTATAACAATAGAAAAAAAAATCCGCAAGAGTAATGATAAACATATCTAAAAGCTCCTGAGGACGTTAAATACTGATGAGACTGATAAAAACAAATATATAGTATGATAAAGTATTCTAAGTATAGCATGTCTTAGTCTGTGTGATACAATATGTGTTAAAATTCAGCTAATTCACTTCAAAAGATTTTTAAATATTGTTTTTCCTGCTCCAAAGATAGTGTAAGCTGCAGCCATGTCTGAGGGGTTGTATTAGCCTCTCAGTTACCACAGTTCTATTGAGATAATAAAAAAAATATACAGAAAAAAAAGAGGGGAGCTGCTGAATAAAGACAAGTGATAAAATTTAACTTCACTTATTTGCATTCAACAGCTCCCCTTCATTTTTAGGTTTATGATCAATGACCAGTTTTCAAAGCCTAATATTTCTAAGGATCCTGGCTCACATACTGTATATATTTTTGTTCTTGATTGTATCTAACCACAGTTCTTTTGATTTGAGTTCATGTAATTTCCTATAACCACTAGAGGGGCCCCTTCACCTTTTTTTCAGGATCTTTCAAAGCCTTGCACCACAAAATTGGTGTTGTTGGTGTGGCATGATATCGGCCTCAAGCTGTTCAAAGTGTGTTATGACAAAAGAACCCATCCTATTTGAAAGAACCTTCACAGCTTATACATACAGTACAGTACAGTGTGTGAGGAGACAGCGCAAGAATGGGGAGGACTATTTTAGTGAGCCATTCACATGAGCTCTGGAATCTATACATCCACCCTCTTTATTCTTCTGTAAAATAGAGAAAGAGACTTTTATTTTGTGTGTTTTGCTCCTTTTGTTTTTTCCCACATTCTTAGATTTGTCAAGGGGAGACACAGAACTCCAACCATGTGTTTGAAAGCCACAATATTGCCAACCCCTGGACATACAGTGGGTACGGAAAGTATTCAGACCCCCTTAAATTTTTCACTCTTTGTTATATTGCAGCCATATGCTAAAATCATTTAAGTTCATTTTTTTCCTCATTAATGTACACACAGCACCCCATATTGACAGAAAAACACAGAATTTTTGACATTTTTGCAGATTTATTAAAAAAGAAAAACTGAAATATCACATGGTCATAAGTATTCAGACCCTTTGCTCAGTATTTAGTAGAAGCACCCTTTTGAGCTAATACAGCCATGAGTCTTTTTGGGAATGATGCAACAAGTTCACACCTGCATTTGGGGATCCTCTGCCATTCCTCCTTGCAGATCCTCTCCAGTGCTGTCAGGTTGGATGGTAAACGTTGGTGGACAGCCATTTTCAGGTCTCTCCAGAGATGCTCAATGGG